TCCCATGCTCTCTCACGTGTCTCTGTATCCCAAGATAATTTGAGGTAGCATTTATAGGACTCTTGAACAAGGAAAAGATCATGATGTGTTAAAATATAATTTGGTGGTTAACATTCCAAACTATAGTCACTATTTAGTTCCCTCAAATTCTCTCCAGGAGTTAAAATAAGATATTTCTTTGAGATCGCATGTTTTCAGCATTCTTTCTAAATGGAGAAGGGCTGATCTAAGGCTTCAGGCTATATTCTGAACCAGACTAAAGATCCTCTAAGTTTGGTTAGCACTCTTGATTTATTTCCCTAAGAAAGGCATTTTGTCTGACCTATCTCACCTTCCAAGGAGGAAGTCTGGCTAGAGCTTTTTAGATCAGATAAATGTTATTTCTTAATGTTTTCACTTTTACTATAAAGGACCACTTTCTCCTACTGGATAATCTCTCCTATAGGTTCTCGTGACACTGTTTTCTCTCTCTGGGTTCTTTGTACCTGTTTTACCACACTCCTCCAGTCTCCTTTGCTGGATACACTAGTCACACCCATTGACCTTGGTTTCCACCAAGGTCTCTGTCCTGTCCTCTTCTTTTTTTTTTACCTCTTCTACTATGTTCTTGTTTAGTCACTTTTCAGTAGAGTCCAACTCTTTATAACACCATTCAGGTTTTCTTGGCAGAGATACAGGAGTGGTTTGCCATTTCCTTCTGCAGCTTATTTTACAGATGGGGAAGGTGAAGTGACTTGCCCAGAATCACACAGCTAGTAAGTGTCTGAGGCTGGATTTGAACTCAGGTCTTCCTAGCTCCAAGTATGATGTTCTATCCACTGAGCCACCTTGCTGACTCTGAATGCAGTAGGCTAGGTTTTTTGTTGTTGTTTTATGTACACTATTGCTCCTCTAATTTACTTCTAACAACTACCTCCCTAGTCATCACCCCTCCTAATACCTACTCTACCCACCCTTCCCTCCCTTATCCTATCCCCTAGCCCTCCTATTGCTTTGTAAGTTAAGAAGACTTTTATACAAGATTTTTGTTATTTCCTCTTTAAACTAGTTCTAATGAGAATAAGGTTCTAGCACTACCAGCCCCTTCCTGCCCTCCACTGTAACAGTTCTTTCATTCATACCTCCTTTGTATGAGATAATTGCTCCATTTTGCCTCTCCCTACCCAGTGTTATATTTTAGGATCATCCCATCATATTCAACTCAATCCCAAGCCTTCTGTGTATGTGTTCTTTTTCAAACTACCCAAGTAATGATAACATTTATAAGACTTATAAATAATGTTTTTCCTCCATATAAGAAGTAAACAGCTTGACCTTATTAAATCCCTTATAATTGATCTTTAATGTTTGCCTTCTTGTGCTTCACCAGATTCCTTCAGATCTGATTTTCTGTCCATTTCTGGTCATTTCCTGACAAGTGACTGAAAATCCTTTAATTCATTAAATAGATTTTTTTTCCCATGCAGGATTACACTCATCTTTGCTGGGTAAATTATTCTTGGTTGCAGATGCAGCTCCTTTGCTCTTTGGAATATAATGTTCCATTCTCTTCAGTCTTTTAATGTAGAGGCTGCTAAATCTTGTGTTATCCTTCCACAGTATTTAAAAAGTTTTTTTTTCTAGTTGCTTGTTTTATTTGCTTCTTGAGTTGGGAGCTTCAACACTTAGCTATGACATTCCTGTGAGTTTTCATCTTTTGGATCTCTTTCAGGTCATGCTTGGTAGCTTTTTTTCAATTTCTGTTTTACCCTCTAGTTCAAAAATTTGAGCAGTTTTCCTTAATTGTTTGAAATATAGTGCCTAGGCTCTCTTTTTGAGCATTACTTTCAGGTAGTGCAACAATTCTTATGTTGTCTCTCCTCTATCCGTTCTCCAGGTCAGTTGTTTTTCTAGTGAGATGTTTCACATTTTATTCTATTTTTTTTCATTCTTTTGATTTTGTTTTGTTAATTTCTTGATATCTTATGAAGTCATTAGCTTCCCCTTACCCAATTCTAATTTTTCAGGAGTTATTTTCTTTGGTAAGTTTTTGGGCCTCTTTTTCTAATTGGCTGACTTTCTTTTCATAATTTTCTTGATTTTCTTGCATTATTCTTTATTTTTTTTCCCAATTTTCCCTCAGCTTCTCTTATTTGATTTTTAAAATCTTTTTTAAGCTCTTCCAAGAACTCTTTTTGGACTTGTGACCATTTTAAATTTTTCTTTGAAGTAGAAGTAGATGTTTTAACTTCACTATCTTCTTCTAACTTTAAAGCCAGATCTTCTCTATCACTATGGTAGCTACTATGGTCAAATTCTTTCTTATTTATGCATGCATGCATGCATGCATACATACATACATACATACATACATACATACATACATACATACATACATACATACATGTGTATATATCGACTTATTTCTGGTTATTAACTTCATGTTAGTTGGGCTGTAGTCATGAGGTGTGGGGAATAATGTTTCAAGCTTCAAGTTTTTTGAGCTCTTGTTTTCTAAGCTCTCTCTAGGGGCCTGATCTCAAATACTCCTCTCTACCTCTGAGCCTCGACCACGGCCCCCAGCAACAGCGTCACCACAAACATTTTTACAATCCTTTCCCAGGCTACGAACTGAAGCTCACTCAGTATCAGTTCATATAAATAAGTCTTTCCAGGTGTTTCTGAAGTCAGCCTGCTCATCATTTCTTATAGCACCATAGTATTTCATTACATTCATATACCACAACTTGTTCAGCCATTCCCCAATTGATGGACATCCCCTCAATTTTCAGTTCTTTGCCACCACAAAAAGAGCTGCTATAAATATTTCTGTACATGTGGGTCCTTTTCCCATTTTTATGATCTCTTTGGGATACAGCCCGAGAAGTGGTATTGCTGGGTCAAAGAGTATGCACAGTTTTATAGCCCTTTGGGCTTAGTTCCAAATTATTCTCCAGAATGGTTGGATCAGTTCACAACTCCACCAGCAATGCATTAGTGTTCCAATTTTCCCACATTTTCTCCAGCATTTATCATTTTCCTGTTTTGTCATGTTAGCCAATCTGATAGGTGTGATATGGTACCTCAGTTGTTTTGATTTGCATCTCTCTAATCAACCGTGATTTAGAGCATATTTTTAGATGACTATAGATAGCTTTAATTTCTTCATCTGAAAACTGTTTGTTCATATCCTTTGACCATTTATCAATTGGGTAATGACTTGTATTCTTATAAATTTGACTTAATTCTCTATGTATTTTAGAAATGAGGCCCTAATCAGAGACACTGATTGTAAAAATTCTTTCCCATTTTCTGCTTCCCTCCTAATCTTGGTTGCATTGGCTTTTTTTGGGCAAACTTTTCAATTTAATGTAATCAGAATTATCCATTTTGTATTTCATAATGTTCTCTATCTCTTGTTTGGTCATGAATTCTTTTCTCCATAAATCTGAAAGGTACACTATTCCTTGCACCCCCAGTTTGCTTATAGTAACAGCTTTCATATCTAAATTGTGAACACATTTTGATTTATTTTGGTATGTGGTGTAAGATTTTTAAACTTATGTACAGAGTATATCGTGAGAAATGCCAAGCTGAATGAATCAAAAGTCAGGATTAAGATTGCCAGAGAAATATCAACAATCTCAGATATGTAGGTGATACCACTATGCGAGCAGAAGTGAAGAGGAATTAAAAAGCCTCTTGATGAGGGTGAGAAAAATGTCAAAGCTGACTTGAAGTGAAACATTAAAAAACCTAAGATCATGGTAAATGGTCCCATCACTTCCTGCAAACAGAGGGAGAAGAAATGGAAGCAGTATCAGATTTTATTCTTAGGTTCAAATATCACTGCAGATGATGACTGCAGCCATGAAATTAAAAGACACTTGTTCCTTGGAAGGAAAGCTGTGGCAAATCTGGACAGCATACTAAAAACCAGAGACATCACCTGCCAACAAAGGTACCTATAGTCAAAGCTATGGTTTTTCCATTAGCAGTGTATGGCTGTGAGAGTAGGACTGTAAGGAAAGCTGAGTGCCACAGAATCAATGCTTTCAAATTATGGTGCTTGAGAAGACTTTTAAGAGTCCCTTGGAGGGGCAGCTAGGTGGCACAGTGGATAGAGCACTGGCCCTGAAGTCAGGAGGACCTGAGTTTAAATCCAGGCTCAGACACATAACGCTCACTAGCTGTGTGACTCTGGGCAAGTCACTTAATCCCAGTTGCCTCACCAAAAAAAAAAAAAAGTCGAGTTCCTTGGACAGCAAAGAGATCAAATCAGTTGATACTTAAATTAATTCAGGCCTGGCATGCTGTGGTCCATGAGGGTCGCAAAGTATTGCACTGAATGACTGAACAACAGAAATGGAGCCTTTCTTTTTATTGGTGACCTCCATGGAGTATATGCCTAGTAGTAGAATCCCTGGGTCAACAGATACCACCATTTTAATCACTTTATTTGCATATTTCCAAATTACTTTCCAGAATGCTTGTACTAATTCCCAGCTTTAACAAGACATCGATGTGCCTGTCTTCCCAACAACCCCTTCAACCTTTACCTTTCCCATCTTTTACCACCTTTGCCAATTTGCTGAATATGAGATGAATCCTCAGGGTTGCTTTGATGTACATTTCTCTTATTATTAGTGATTTAGAGTACTCTTTTCTTATAATAGTTTACAATTTTTCTTTGTAGAACTTTTCATTCCTATCATTGGATCATCACTTATCTTTGGGGGTAATGGCTTTTGGCATTAGGTATTTCTATTAATTTTCTATGTATCTTAGATATCAAAATCTTCTCAGAGATATTTGATGTAAAAAAAAGAGAATTTTTTTTTCCTAGTCAACCACATCACTTATCCTCGTTGCATTAATTTGTCAGGGGATGTAGCTGTTCAATTTAATGTAATTTCATGTCCTTGGCCGCCAATCAACTGCGGTGGGCTTTTGAGCAGGAGCTCCAAAGATCGGCTGAGTAGCTTCCCCCTAGATGAGAACATGGATTCAAGAATACTCACGTTTGGAAGTCTCAGTGTTAGGTCCATTGTAGAAAATTCTGTTCTACACAGGGAGAAGTGGGTCGGCAATGGCAGGCAGATGATTTGATTATGTGGCTGGATGGCATGTAAGGTTGAAGCAGGCCTGGGGCAGAGCACTGAGATGCACATAAGAATAGGGAACAGGGCATGCATACTGATGGAAATGAAGAAGGAGCCCTCAGATAGTCAGGAAAACCAGGAAAGAGTAACGTCACCCAAGGAAACAGGAAAGAGAAAATATCTAGAAGAAACAGGTAGTCAGCAGTTTCAGACAATGGGAACCTGAGAAGGATGAGGTCTGACAAAGACCAGTTGTTTTTAACAATTTGGAGGTCGGTAACCTTGCGAGGAGTTGAGAAGTGAGGAAGTAGATGCAGTGCCTGGAGTGTGGCACTTCACTCCTCAGAAGCCCTTGTTTCCTTCAAACCTAAACCCAAATGCTACTTTGAACACCATTGTATCAACTAACTGTTTCTGAACTACAGAATTGTTCCATGTTTTACACAGTGTATTTTGTGCGCTGCTTCTCAGACTTTTGGGGTTATCATGCATATTTTGTCATTTAATCTTCACACAAGCCTGTGACTGGGCAGGACAAGTAGATAGCCTTGTTCTTTTGTGACCTTCAAAAGAGTAGGGACCATGTTATAATCATTTCTCTATCTCCCCTTCCCAGTCCCAGTCACAAGGCTGCATGTATGGTAAGCTTTTAATAAATGAGTACTGAATGAATGTCCCCTACAAAACTAAGGGGGAAATATCTGTAGCATATTTTCTTAATTAAACCAATAGGCAACATAAGTTTGCCAGAGCAGAGCTCAAGTTGAGGGAGTGTGAGGAGGGAATGACAGAGGAAGTGGGATGGTACCCAAGATAATTCTTGGCCTTCACAAATTTTGCATAGGATTAACTGTTGAATGCTGTAAGCTGAAGTCATTCCTTCAGCAGGGGTAGGGTAAGTTGATTACTGCTGGTGACATCTTCCCCATTACCTAGCACAGTGCTCTGTACATAGTAGCTAAAATGTCTGTAGAATTGAAAACAAAAGTTCACAAACATCTTCAAGGTCATAAATGTCAGAGTCAAATTGGAACCCAGATCTTCCACCTTGGTACCTTTCAGCTGGATTAAAAATCATATTAAGAAACCTACAGAATGCAGTTGACATTTATACAGCAAATTCCAGCCTAACTGAATTTTTTACCAATGTAGGCAAAAGCTTCTTTTTTTAAAACTATACACTAAATTTTCTCCTTTGAGTTTTCCTTAAAGCCAATAAGTTACCTCCATATATAAAGTGAAATGAACTTGAGGGAATTTTTCAAAACTTGAGGCTGAAACTTTCTTCTTAAATATCCAAATAACAGTGGGAAAAGTATCTTTGTTATTTAAACTATCTTGTCAATTGCAGCTTAATAAATGCAGGTATATCTTGTGGTTTACCAAACTTTTTTGCTGTGCTTTCGCCCCAAGTTGCCAGAATATTCAACTAATTTGTTCTTTTGTCTTGTTAAATCCCTAATCAGTTAAGCAATATCAGTGCCCCTGGGAACTCTTTAATAATACATTCTCAGATACTAGACATTACTTATAGTTAACAAGAGCCAAAACAAACCATAAAGAAATTTTGCGGGGGAATATGCAATTTCAGGTCAGCAATTCTAAAGTAATGAGGACAATTTGTTTTTTAATGTGCCCCCAGCGGTGCAGATGCTTTTTGTTTATTTATATTTAATAGTTTTTATTTGCCTCTTTATTAAAAATTTATAAGGCATATAGTTACTGTTATTTTATTTTAAACTTCGTTATCAAGTATTGTAGGGAATTGGGTTGGTGCCAAATAATTAGAATAATTATTAACTAAGAGTTATTTCACGTTGTCCCAAGTGGTCCCTTCCTGGCCCTTGAAGTAGAAGGCGGGGGAAACACCTTGAAGTAGATTAGGAGGGTAGAGATTTCCATATATAAATTATTACTCTTTGTGAAAGCCCTGGACGCTGCACATGTCTAACTTCTCTCTTACTCTCCTCCTAACACCTTTCCCTTCCCCACTCACTAGAAAAAATAACAAGCTATGGCTAAAATAAAATAATAGCATAGCTATCCCTAACATTAAGAGATTCTGATTAGTCTGGGCAGCTTATATTTTAGAAAGATTTGTTTGGAGCTATACCAGAAGCTCATTTCAAAGCTTTCTGGTTTTCTGTTGTTGTTCACTCATTTCAGTCATGTACAACCTTCAAGACCCCATTTGGGGTTTTCTTAGCAAAGATACTGGAGTAGTTTGCCATTTCTTTCTCCAGCTTATTTGACAGATGAGGAAACTGAGGCTAACAGGGTGAAGTAACTTGTCCAGGGTCACACAGCTAGTGAGTGTCTGAGACCACTCAGGTCTTCCTGACTTTGAGCCTGGTGCTCTATCCACTGCACCATCTATGTACCCCCTTTCTGGTTTTATAACCTAGCAAATATAATGCAAATTTGATTGTATATCAGCCTGGTAGAATGAAAAAAACAGAACTGTATTTGGAGTCAGAGGATTTGGATTCCAGTCCAGACTTTGCCACACCACCTGTCTGTAACTTCAAACAAGATATTTAACTCCTGGTTTTAGTTTCTTCGTTGAGGGAGATGAGTGAAAATGACCTCTAAGGCCCTATCTAGTTTTAAATCTATCATCTTTTAGTACCTTACCTTCATAAGCACTTCTCTTCAAAAGATCTTAAGAAGCTTTGAGTTAAAAGATAAAATTGCTGCTATACATGGCACTTTTATATGGCATTGAAACTTTTTTAAAAAGTAGTTTGTAGTATAAATAGACACAAGGAAGATTTTCTCTTTCATTCTTTTCTCATTGTCTCCCTAATATAGCCAAGAATTATTCCAGGCTTTACCTTTTCTCCCTAAACCATTAACTCCTCCCATTCCCAAACAAACCCCAATTTATCAGATGTGCCTTTCCTTGTACCCTTGGAGAAAAGTGAGACTGTGCCTCAAATCCTTAGCTCAGCATATCCCTATACACACAATTGACATCTTAGTTTTCTGTCCAGTCTCAATGAAAAAGAGGATTTTCATCTCAAAAAAATCAACCCTTTCACTTGAACTCTGGACCCCATGTCTTCCCACCTCCTCTAGAAGTTTAAACCTGTGATTATTCATTTATTCAGTATATTTATTGAGCCCTTACTGTAAAACATTTGGAGGCCCTTGGAGCAGTACAAAGAAGGATAAGGCATGATCTCCATCCTTAGGGAGCTGTCTAATAACTATTGCCTCCTTCTGTCGTCTCTAATTTCATCCTTCCTTTGGGCTCTTTCCCTTCCACTTTCAGACATGCTCACATCTCCCTGTCATGAAAATAAGAAAGCTTTTGTTTGACCGTGCCAACCATTCCAGCTACCATCTTTCCACTACATGACTTCTAAGTCACTTCTATTTCTAGATCTATGATTCCTTGGTTACCTAATAATTTCAGGTAAGTATTCTGCCTCTGCTTATCAGTCCATTCCCTTAGTGTCCTGAACTCTGACTTCTACCATAAACTACTTCAGTGAAATTTCCTAACAGTAACTAAATTCAGTGGTCATTTCTCAGTTCCATTCTCATTTACTTTGCTTACTTGCAGACCAACAGCTCTTTTTTTTTTAATGGCTAGGCAATGGGGTTAAGTGACTTGCCCAGGGTCACACAGCTAGTAAGTGTTATGTGTCTGAGGCCAGATCTGAACTCAGGGCCAGTGCTCTATCCACTGCGCCACCTAGCTGCCCCCCAACAACTCTTTCTTGAACCCTCATGTGTCTTCCATTTCCATGAAACTACAATTTCTTCTCTCTCCTATTACTAACCATACTTTCTGACTTCTTGACTGTAACTTTCCTTCCTATGAATGTACACAAAGGCAGTATCCATTATCCTAGCTATGTTCTTCTCTGAAGTTTTTAATGTGCTCTTTAAGTCCCATGGTTTCACCTGCCACCTCATTGGGGGTGATTCCTAACTCTAGGCCGTACCTCTCACCTCTATTCAAATCTCTTACTTATTTCTAGGTATTGACAAGACATCTCTAGGTGGATGTTCCCCATCATCTTAAACTCAGTATATACAAAACTGAACCATAATCCGTCCGACATGTCCCTGCCAATAAAAGTCGTTCTTTCCTAACTATCACGTCTCTTTTGTAGGTACCATCATTCTTCTAGCTTCCTGGACTAAAAAAACATTGCAGACTTCCGACTTCTTATTCACTGCATCTATCCTATCTGTTACCAAGTCTGTTTTTTCTTTGAAATGTCCCTCAGCCAATATAGTGGAAAACACCTATAGTCCCTGCTACTGGGGAGACTGAGATTGGTGGAGTTCTAATTTGTACTTGGGGGCTCTGTGAGGCAGTGTCCTAAGCCAATTGGATGACCACACTAGGTCCAGCACCAGTTTGGTGAGCCTTGTAAGGAAGAAAGGGTAGTACTAAATTGCCTAAGAGAGGGTAAACCAGCCCTGGTTCTGGGTCAGAGTTCCCATGGCTTTGAGCAAGACAGGGAGACCCTGAAGGAAGTAAGGAAAGAAATATTTCTCAGATTGAACTTTTCTTTAATATCCCTACTTCAGTTATCCTAGTCAAGACCCCTTTTCACCTCATGTCTTAATTTAACTGAACAGCCTCTTAGCTAGTCTCCGTTTTCAATCTCTTCCCTTCCTTCACTCCAAATAATTGTCCAGCTCCCCAAGTTCTTGCTTCCCTTTTCTCTATTTATCTGTGCTCACTCTTGCCTTTGCTCATGCCGTTGTCTACCTGGTATGCTCTTCTCCCACTGAAGTCTGTCTTCTTTAGAGCTCATTTAAATGCCACCTTCATAGTATTAGAGGATTTTTTGAGTTGGAAGAGACCTTATTCTTGTCAAACACATATGAGAAAAAGGTTTATCGATTCACTTGATTTACCCAAGCGCACGCATCTAGCAGAGCTAGAGATTCAAATTCAGGTCCTTTGACTCCCAGATCCAGTTATTTCCATCATGCCATATATAAAACTCCTTGTGGGCAAAGACTATTTGTGTCTTCTACAACATCCAGTGAGCATTTATCATAGACATTCAATACACAGGATCATAGAAAGGTCTTCAGAAGCCATTGAGAACCAACCCCTTCATTATACTGATGAGGAAACTGAGGCATAGACAGGTTAAATGATATGCATAGGGTCACATGAGTACCTGAGTAGTATTTAAATCCTGGTCTTCTTGTCTGTAAGTCCAGTGCCCCATGCATTACACCAGAGGTTCTTGACTTTTTTGGGGGTCGTAGATTCTTTGGCAGTCTGGTGAAGCCAATGGACCACTTCTCAGAATAATATTTTCAAATACATAAAATAAAATACATAAGAGTTACAAAAGAAACCAATTATTTTGAAATACCATTATCAAAATATTTTTTTAAAAAACATACTCACTGGATAGAGCACCAGCCCTGGGTAAGTCACTTAACCCCACCGCCTAACAACAACAAAACATATTCACAGACTCCACATTAAGAGCCCCTGTATCATATCACTAGGCCAGGCTGCCTTTTACAAATTTCTATTTCCTGCCTCTCTTGTCTTTCTGTTTCTTTGCATAAATCTTATCTAATTCCCCTATGATTGTTTCCAAAGAGTTTTGCAACATGTTTGTTGAAAGAATGAATTTACCCGAGTATATGCAGTAATGGTGTTAAAAATGGAGCCTAGATCTGATTCTTAGACAAGTCTTTAGAGTAGAAAGATATTATGGTCATTTTATTTGCAAATGTTTGACATTTTCGGATTCCTGGCTGTATTCTGTTCTCCCCAGCAACCAGAGCTGCTCTCTTCCCATTCAGCCCCCAAAAGCTCATTCAGTGCATCAGTCCTTGACCTGAATAGGCATTCGTGAATTTATAAATGAATCATTTAATCCTATGAATAATGAGACAGACAGCTCACATGCTTGCTTGGTATCCTCTTGATGTCAAGGGAAGACAGAGAAAGTTGGGTGGACCCCTGGGATGAGCTTGTACATGGAACACTAGTCCTGGAGTCAGGAAGTCCTGAGTTCAAATTTGACCTCAGATATTTACTAGCTGTGTGACCCCAGACAGTTTCCTCAACTGCAAAATAGGTGTAATAATAGCACATATTTCCCAGGGTTATTATGAGGATCAAATGAAATAATATTTGTAAAGTGTTTGGAATAGTGCCTGGTGCATAGTAGGCATTTAATAAATACTTGTTCCCTGTTTCCTTTATGGGAAGTAATGGACAAGAGTTACCCAGGATGGGCAGGCATGGACAGTTTGGGATCTACATCATTGGAGGGAAATTGGTGAGATTATAGGTCAGCTAAAGTGTTGAAGAGATGATTAGAAAACCATAGCTACTTCTGTCAACCTTTTATCATCAGATTTTGCTGTTATCAAATAGCGTTAATTTGAATTTCTCCTCTTATACTCTAGCTGCCCCAAAGGTACCAACAACCAATGGAATAAGCGTAAGTCAAACAGCAAGCAAAAAGGAAAAATCAGAGTGCACATATAATCAAACTGAACAGTTCGGTTATCTATTGCCCTAATTTTTTTCTCCATACAGCAAAAAAGAGAGAGAGAGAGAGAGAGAGAGAGAGAGAGAGAGAGAGAGAGAGAGAGAGAGAGAGAGAGAGATTAGATATGCAGATATCAGGCTAAGAAGTTAACATTTAAGTTTTCAAACAAAGACCAATAAGTTACCCTTGATGCCTTTGAGTCCCTTATTTTATAAAAAGGAATCTATGGTAAAGTCAGAAACTAATTTTATTTTTTTGAGACAATCAGGGTTAAGTGACTCGCCCAGGGTCACACAGCTAGGAAGTATCTGAGGCCAAATTTGAACCCAGGTCCTCCTGACTTTGGGGCCAGTGCTCTATCCACAGTGCCACCTAGCTGCCTCCTAGATACCAATTTTAAAGATCAATTGGTTATTCACTTATTGGATTGAATTGAATCTCTTTAGCCAAAGAAAGGGGGGAGAAAAAACAAAAAGGGAGGGAGAGCTATATAGGCAATTTATGCTTCAACATTGTCATCCATCTTTCTTACTAAAGACGATGTCGACATTGATTTGTGTTAGTATGACTTACGTTTATAAAAGGGAAGGTTTGCCCATGTTGCCCTCTGTTCAGTAAACTCCTGTGGTTCCCTGTTAGCCCGAGGATCAAATATAAAATCCTCTTTTTGGTTTTTAAAACTCTTCGTAACCTGGCCCTTCTGACCGTTCCAATCTTCTTACACCTCACTTCTCTCCACATACACTGAGGTCCAGTAACACTGGGTTCCCTGCTTTTCCTCGAGCCCAGTCCTCCATCTTTCAGCTCTCAGTGGTTCCCTGGCTGTCTCCCAAGCCTGGAACTCTCTCCTTCCTCATCTCCATCTCCTGGCTTCCTTCAGGTCTCAGCTAAGGTCCCGCCTCCGCAGGAAATCTTGCCCATTTCTCGATCTTAATGCCTTCCCTCTGAGACTATTGCAAATGAATCTCGTATTCATCTTAATACATAATTGTTTGTTTGTTGTCTCCCCCGTTAGAGGGTGAGCTCCTTGAGAGCAGGGACTGTTTTTTGCCTTTATTTATATCCGTAATGCCTGGCACATAGTAGGCACTTGATAAATGTTAATTGACTAATTAACTCTTTAAAATTATTTGACTAGTAAAAATAATCATTTGTTGTTGGTGGTTTTTTTCCTCTCCAACTTAGGGAACCTCCTCGTGGAGCTCATTATCTTGCCAGAAGTCTGGATGATGCATTTGACCTTCTGAAACTTCCAGAGCTAGCAAATAAGGTGGACATGATTTGGATAGTTGGAGGCAGCTGTGTTTATAAGGTATAGTTATAATTTCATAGTACATCTGAACATAAGGCTAATTCACCACGATTTGTGTATGCTTGAAATAATCTTTTCCTAAAAATTTTGAAGTACTACCTACTGTCTACCCTCAGTACAATGTTATGTACATTTTTTAAAATTAAAAAAAAAATTAGGACCGTCTTTAGGGGTAGAAAAACTTGTATCTCTAAACACTTTAATCAACAAAAGAGAGGGGAAAAAATCAACAAATTAGACTGACAACTAAAAAACTCCAGAAAACTAACAAATTGTAAAACTCCAATTAAATGCCAAAATAGAAATCCTGGAAATCAAAAAAATTAATGAAATTCAAAGAAAACAACCATTGAATTAATAAAAGTAGGAGATGATTTGGGGGAGAAAAAACAAAGTAGATAAAACATTTCCTAATTTGATTAAAAAGAAGAAAAGAGGGAAACCAAGTTATCAGTATCGAAAATGAAGAAAGAATTCAAAACAAATGAAGAAGAAATAAAGGATATTATTAGAAACTATTTTGTGCAACTGTATGCCAATAGGTCTAACAGAATACCCAGATTAATTGAACAAGAAATAAAGAAATTTCAGAAGAAGGAATTGGACAAGCCAAAATAAAATGAGCTTCCAAAGGAAATACCCCCTGAGAGTAGGTAGATTCACAAGCAAATTCCAGCAAAGGTTCAATGAACAGTTAATTCCAGTGTTACACAAGCCATTTGCAAAGATAGCAAAAGATGGGAACTTCTCAGATTCCTTCTGTAAAACAGATATATATCCTTGATACCTAAACCAAGGAGAGTCAAAACAGAGAAAGAAAACTACAAACCAATATTACTAATGAACAGTGATACAAAAATTTTGAATAAGATATCATCAGAGGGACTACAGCAACATAGCACAAAGATTATACTCTCTGACCAGTTTGTATTTATACCAGGAATACAGGGCTGGTTTGGCATTAGGAAAACTACAAACAGTTGACCACATTAATAACAAGAACAATAAAAAACACATGATTATATCAATAGACACACAGAAAGCGCTTTTAACAAAACGTAAGATCTATTTTTGGTTTTTTAAAAAGGATGAGGAACAAGAGCTTTTTTAACATTTTTATCTCCTCTAAGTACAAAATACTGACAGTTTGCATTCTTTATTTTCCTTTTGCATGTGTGAATGAAATGTGAATATAATGAAAACTAAAACCCCATTTCTAAATCAGATTCCTCCCCCACTGTCCTTAATCGCAAGCATTGTGATTTGGAGGCTTTCTTTTGAAAAGTAATCACTTTTTCTCTGTTAGCTTGTTTTAAAATGATTTGTTTCAAATGAATCATTCTTCATACTAGAACTAGACTATGTTTATTTGGGCCATTTACATTTTAAAGAGTAGAATTTTAAATAGTGCTGTGTGATTTTATGGAAACGTCCTTTTTTCATGTTGCCTCTTTTTGTTCTAAATTTAAAAGCCATCTTAAATTTTTCCCTGAGAAATCAAACTTGCCTTGAATTCTGTCCTCCATTCCTTGTGATCCAGTCTTCACAGTCTGATTAAGGGTTGGTTGTCCTAATTTGGTCAATATGTGTCATTGATAATAAATATATTATTTTTTCTAAAAGTAAACAGCTTGACCCAGAATGGTAATTTTATTATGGTGGAAAAGAGTTTCCTAAGTAGTCATAATCCAGACATGAATGCTCTTAAATCAGTAGTACCACCTTTTTTTTTTTTTAATCTTTAGGGAAAACTTTCTGTATAACCCAGAGGCATTTATTTATTTTTCCTCGAGCCAAACTTGGTCTAAAAGAGGATTATTCCAGCCTTTCAAATTGAGTGGGCTGGTAAATATTCATTTTCTCCCCTACTTTCTCACATCTAGATAATCAGCAAAACAATAAATCAAGCCTTCATTGGTATCATTCCCTAGATAAATGATCACACTGGAAATTTAACTGTGAGCCACTTCCGACTGGCTTCAGCGCACCCCTGAATGTAGGCCTTGTTTTCTTTCAGTATAAATTAAGAGTTGAAATAGATGGCCTCTAAAGTCTCTTTCAGCTCTAACATTTAAGACTTTCATTACATTCTTTTAAAATAATTAGTTATCAAGGTAGTATTACAATATATTATTTGATGAAGAGGCAGTGTGGAAAGGAGGCCTCAGAGTCAGGAAAGACTAGCAAATCTTGTCTCATCCATACTACCTAAGGACCAGGGATAGGTCATTTAACCTCTCACTGCCCGAGGCAGTGTTCCCAGGTTAGAAATTACACATGATTTGCCACAACAGGAATGCTCTTTGCCAGTTCTCTATACAACCCTAAATCTCCCCTCATTTCTACTTCACCCTAAAAAAAAAAAGAGTTGACAAGGGCTACCTCTTTTTTTTTTTAAGTCAGTTGGGGTCAAGTGACTTGCCCACGGTCCCACAGCTAGTGTCAAGTATTTGGTCTAAGGCCGGATTTGAGCTCAGGTCCTCTCAACTTCAGGGCCCGTGCTCTATCCATGTGCCACCCAGCTGCCCCAGGGACTACCTTTCTTACAGCCATTATCTCATTTGATCCTCGTGACAATCCTGTGGTATTGTCACAAATGAAAAACTCTGAGGATAATTAATAATTAATTTATCAGCTAGGCTAGCCACAATCGATAAATTGATGGTCGGTGGCTTCTCTCGGTAACCAGAGATGACCCATGAAGAACCTGAAAGCCCTAAATAATTTTTGAAAGGGAATGCCCCTGACAAATGAAGATCAATCCTGTTTGGTGGACATTTAATGAGGAGGTGGGCTAGAAGTCTTAAGCTCCTCTTGCTGAGAACATAGCTTGATCATGAGACTCAGCTGCCTCCAGCAATGTGCACAGGGGAATCCATTTCCATCCAGACCTCTTTGGTTGGTTTTCTCCTTCCTGACCTGGGTCCACCCTAAAGTCAAATGAAGGGTAATAAGCATAGAGACTTCTTTCTCCAGGGTAAGAACTCACCCAGACTAGATTCTGTTTATACTGTAAACAGAAGTTAAGTGTCCTGGTTGGGTGGAGTCCCATCCAAGATTTCAGAGCTCCTTCAGTAGCGGTAATCTTCCTCAGTCCTTCACGTCCTTCAGAGACTGACTTTTTATAGGAGCTGGGCCTTAATGAGGAAATCAAGGAGAAAAGCCTGGATCCTAATTTAACAACTGGTTATTCATATAATAAATAATAACCTTAGTATATACCCATAGGGTTTTATTTTTTCCTGTTTTATAGGCAAGGATGCTGAGGCTTAGAGTGTCAGCAGCAGGATTTAGAATGCACACTTCCCCTAAGTCCCACATTTATCCTGCTGTAGCATTCTGGCTTTGAAAACACTTCTCCAGATAGCCCATGGGCATCTCAAACTTGGAATATCCCAAATAGAACTCCTCTTATATGCTCTAAAACCCAGCCCTCTCCCGTATAGGCACAACCATCCTTCCAAGTCAGTCATCCAAGGTTGCAAACCTGAAATCATCCTTGAGTTTTCCTTTACTGCCTAATAGACGCCCTCCCTTCCTTCAGAGAGCATCCCTGACTCTTCCATTCACCGTATCCATTCTGCTTGATCTCTACAACATCACTTATATCCAACCTTTTCTCTTAACTCAGCCTCTAATCTATCTAGGCGCTCATTATCTGTCACCTAGACTACTGAAAGAGATTCCTAATTGGTCTGCTTGCCCCTAGTTTCTCCCTTCTCCAATCTGTCTTTTATACATCTGCTGAATTGATGCTCCCAAAACTGATTTAACCATATTAACCATCTGTACTCAGACCCCAATCATCTGGAGCAGGGATAGGGAACTTTCTGGGTCCTTGGGTTCAGCCTTTTGACTGAGTCCAAGTTTTACAGAACAAATCCCTTTATTAAGGGGATTTGTTCTGTGAAGTTTGGATTCAGTCAAAGGGCTGCACTTGAGGACCTAGAGGGCCATATATGGCCTTGAGACTGAAGCTTCCCCACTCCTGATTTAGAGGCTCTAATATAAAATCTTCAACCTTCCATTTAAATCCCTTTACATTCTGGCACCCACTTGTCTTTCCAGATTTATTTCATCTTATTCCCTTTCACAAATTCTCTTCCAGTCAAACATGTCTGCTTACTGGTCCCTGTACATCATGATGTCCCACCTCCATACCTTTGCCCTAGGGTCCTTTATCTCTGAAATGCCCTCTTTTCTTAATATCTCAGGCTTCCTTCAGAAAACAGATGAGGTGCCATCTCCCACACAAGGCTGTTCCTGATTTCTTTCCCTCCCCTTTCCCAATACTAGCACCCTCACCTTCTTTAAATTACTTGGAATAAACTCTGTTTTAACTCATGCCTTTATTGTATCCCACTTAATAGAACCTAAGTTCCTTGTGGACGAGGATGTTCCATTTTTGTTTTTGTAACGCTGACATGGGACCTTGTGCAAGTAGCCATTTAATAAAGGTTTGTTGAGTTGAATACCAGATTGATCTTGAGAAATGCTTTCTTTAAAAATTTCAAATACTTAGGATTAAGGTATTTACATAAGTTTTATTTTAACTATGTGACACAGTAGATAGAGCTCTGGGCCTGGAGTGAGAAAGAGTTGAGTTCAAATGTGACCTCCACTGAGACTTAACTAGCAATGGGACACTGAGCAGATGACTTAACCCTAGTTGCCTCAGTTCCTTAACTGTAATTTATTGCCTCACTTTCCTAAATGTAATATTCTAATACCACTTTCCCAGAGTTATTATAAGGGGCAAATGAAATAATATTTGTAAAGTGCTCAGCACAGTACCTGGTACATAGTGGGCACTATATAAATGCTAGCTAATATTATCATTAAGCCCTCTGATACATCCAGAGTGGTATAAATGGGGATATATTGGAGCCAGCTCATGGGAACCATATTAAATTTTCAGTGTAAGTGTTTACACTTGAGAAATTGGCAAACATTACAAGTGAAGGCTTGTTTTATTGATTGCCTAGACTTAAGAAAGGGAAGGAGAAAATGTTAATACAAGCTAAACTTAAACATTTGTTGTGCATACTTTTTTTGTTTTTTTCTTCCATGAGAGTTAGTTAAGCATTTACCAGCACGCAGATATGTGCCCTGCCCAGGGTTAGGTACCTGCCAACGGTCTCAGGTGTTGATGTGGTATCATGTGACTATCAAGTAATTGATGCGTTGTTTAAAAACTAAGCAAGGAAAAATATGCTAATCCACCAAAGAAATTAAGTCCCTTGTAGTTCTGTATTCCATAACGTTAGGCTCCCCTGGTAAATGACTAGAAATAACTAAATCTTTCCTTGGTCCTGTCCAAATTCTTCGTTTTTCCTCTTCCTCTAAAGTAGGCAGCCTGTTGAAGTGCAAGGTACAAGATTAAAGACTCCTGTGTGGCCTCCAGAAATAGAAAAATAAAATCTGCACAACGTTAAATGTGGCCTTCTGACCCCACCTTAACATGGGCTCAAAAGATAATAGGGACATAAATGATGTTTATATGCTAGCTGCTTTAAGACCGGCCCTCCCCACTTCTACACTCCAACACCCCATCCCACCCAAAAAAAATTATGGAGTTATTTTTAGGAAGTGTCATTTTTTTCCTTCCTTTAGCATTTTCAGAAATCCACCAATTGTAGAGTTGTTTCTCTCAAAACTCATTTTCTCAGCAGTGCTGCGTTAGGAGCATTGGGTTAACGTCCCATGAAGAAGTTTCCATCTAGTCTTAAGCACGGTTATTAACAACATGTGGCAAAGTGGTAGTCATAAGCAGTGTGAGGCAGGTGAGCTTCCTTTAGAAACACACATTGTTTACAGAGATAACAGAAATTCAGAAGTATCAGTCAAATATGAGTAAATGTACCAGTCAGCTGTTTTAAAAGGTTTTTCCTCATTAAAAGAAGAAAAACCACTTTTCTCCTTACTTACATGTGCTATATTTAGTCTTTAGATTAATCACCTAGTGTAAATGAAGGGAGGCCTTCTAAACTAGTTTTTAAAAATGGCAAGAGAACATTTCCTTATGTCCAATTACAGACCAGTACCCAGAGGTGGAAAAAATTGCCTCTTCTCCCCTCCCCTTTTCCCTCTTTCTCCTGTTCACTTGCATAGCTTTAGTTATCATCTCTAAATAATGTATGGAACATTCTTTCCAAACCTTGAAGTTTTATATAAATGTGAGCTAGTGTTATATAATAACAGCTGTAGTTATTATGTGTTGTTATATAATATTATACATAGTGTAGTATAATGTTGTAAAATATGATAACTCACATTTACAGAAGACTTTAAGGTTTGCAAGCAAATGGATCCTCATAACAACCCTATGAGTCAAGTGCTGTTATTATCCTCATTTTACAAGTAGGAAAACTGAAGCTCAGAAAAGTTAAGGAACTTGCCCGGAGTCAGATAACCAAAAAGAATCTGAGAAGGAATTTGAACTCAGGTCTTCCTGACTCCAGAGTCTAGTGCTCTATCCGCTCTGCCACTTTGCTGCCTATCGTGATGATGAAGATTCTTTATCTCCAATCCAGACTTCTCCCATATTTCCAAATGCCTATTGATTGGGCATCTCCATTTGTGTATCTCATTATCTCTTCCCTCTCTGGGTCTGAAATCTCCTTCTGTGTATTCACATTTCTAGCTATTCCTTTTGGTTTAGTAGTAGTGCCTTTTTTTTTTCATCTTATAATCCAGAAACCAACACTCCTCCATCTTATCTTAGGTCTATACTGTCACCAAGTTCTCTTGTTTCTTTCTTTGAAATGTTCTCCAAGATGGGGCCATTCTCTTCTCTTCCTTTTGCTACCAGCGTAGTCCTGGCCCTTTATGTCTCACTTTTCAGTTGTTGTAACAGCTTCCTAATTGATGTCTTATCCCACAGTTCATCCTGACTTCTCTAGTCCAACTTATTAAAACAGTATGTTCAGATATCAAATCACTTTTTATCACTAGCTTGTCCCTTTACCCTATTTCCTAATGCCTTGCTTTCTTTATTATCCTTATTATCTGTGTGTATAAACACACACACCCACAGCTTTCTACCTTTGCTCATGTCTGTGGACTACTTTTCTATGTCTATGTCTATGAATGATGAAGTACTACTTAGCCTTCAAGGTTCACCTCAAATAGGAACACTTTCAGGAAGCTTCCCATGATTCTGCCCCCATCCAAACTCCCATAGTCCTTTTCACATACCTCATTTATGAAATGGGAATAATAATAATAACATCTACTTCCCAGGATAGTTGTGAGGATCCAATGAAATAATATTAAGTTCCTTAAAAGCCTTAAAGTCTTATGTAAATGTGAACTATTACAATATATTACACTATTACACTAAGATAGTATATAACTATATGTAATAGCTCAGGCTATTATTGTAATATACTTGCTTATATTTTCATAAAGCTTTAAGATTTGTGAAGAACTCTCCATACGTTATTTTGATTCATGTAGAAGGGATAATTAAAGCCACGGAAGTGCTTTGCTAACATTAAAATACTATGTAAATGCTAGCTATTATTATCATCTTAAACTATAATAGATGGTTGATAGAATGGGTTATCTCCTATTAAATTGGAGACTCCTTAACGGTAGATTCTGTTTTATGAATATTTGTGTCTCTAGCAGGACCTAACACGGTTCCTTATTGAATAAATTAATTCTCAGGGCAGCTAGGTGGTGCAGTGGATAGAACACCGGCCCTGAAGTCAGGAGGACCTGAATTCAAATCTGGCCTCAGACCCAACACTTGACCCTTTACTAGCTGTGTGACCCTGGGCAAGTCACTTAACCCCAATTGCCCCCCAAAAAAAAAAAATAATAATAACTAATTAATTAATTAATTAGTTGGTTCTCGCTTGGAAATACCTTATACTGTGAATAGCTGGTTGCCCACACACAAGCTCTGAGGCCATGACATGCTGTATCCACCCCTCCTCTAACTTTCCATCACTAAGAACACCCAGTAATGCCCATCCTACAAACCCTCAGATATTTTTTAAAGTAATAAATCAAGCTATCCTAGGCCAATAGACTCACCTGGTGACTAGCATAGGAAAATAATCTCTGTCCAGTGTTTCTTCTTCCCCTGGAATATTACCATACCGTCTTCTCTCCATTTTCCTGTGTCAGTGCATAATTATATTCCAAGTACTGTACACACATTTACATCCTGTGGTGAGTGGGAAACAATGTTGAATTTATAGACAGGATTTGAATTCAAATCTTGCTCTTTTGCTGGCTGATCATAATCAAGTCACGTAATCTCTGTGGTTTTCTCACTTTCCCTATCTTTACATTGGTTGATAGAATGGGTTATCTCCAAGAGTCCTGAGGTCCTTTCTAGCTATAAGTATATGGTCCTATAATCTAGTACTTGGCCCACTTAACTCACGAAAATTATCTTTCTGGTATTCTTCTTTGTTCATCCCCATTTTAATTGTGAGTTAGAAAATTATTCTATTGTGACTAATAAGTTTGAATAATGCTGGCAGTAGAGCTCTGTAAAGGAAAAGGAGAGCTATACATGTGAAGAAGAAATTAGTCATAATAAAGAAAGAAACAGTGCAATCAACATTTAAAACCCCTGCAAGTACCCAAAAGTGCCCTTCAGAATCTCTACAAAGGTGACCGACCAGCCATATCCTCATTTTCTTACCATTACCAGCATTCAGAATTTATTTTTAAAATCCTTATTGTTTCCATTCTTTTGTTTGATTGATAGTTTTGGAGCTGATTTATAATATTCCATTATAATAGTAAACAGGTTAAACAGGCCTTTGTGGGCTAGCCTAAAATGCTTAACTCAGCTTATATTTATGCTCTTGTTTCTATGAGAAAATGTGTTCAAAGTTCCAGCCAGGTAACTCTTAGAATATGTTACCTGAAGACAGACTGCATTGTGCTACGTACTAGAAACATAAAGCTAAAAAAAATACATTCCTTGCCAATTTTATATATTTTGCTTAGCATGATATCTTCTGTGCAATAGGCACTTGGTAAACATTTGTCAAATGAATTGAAGTTTCTACAAAAATGGTATTTGTGCCACATTCTTAGGCAAGAATCCACATTCAAGGGAGTCTGCGATTTCTGGTTTAAATGGCTAGAAGGTCCAGAACATTTTTCAGATCATCCTAAATAAAGAACTCTTTTAAATTCAGTTCCAGAACTTTTCTTTTCTTTTCTTTTTCTTTTTTATGACTGTGAGATCTGCTTTATTGTCTTGGGACCAGCCATTGGATGTAGTTCTTTAAAAAAGGCAGAAAGGGCTTCAACCAGCACTAGGACAGCACCATATGTTTTCAATTTCTGGAGGGTTCCTTGACCAGAGTCAATTGGTACAAAACACTGGGGTGGGGAGGGGGAGGGGGTGCAGAAATGAGGCAATCTGGTGTTGAATTCAGCAGTAGCCTTCGCAGAGGAGTTGACAGTGAACAGGTGGGCTGGCTTCAAGCTGTTTCCTTCTCATAGGTCCTAATGCAGACTGCACTGCCGTGGGTTAGTATCAGAATGAGCTTTCCACCCTGGAGCTCCCGAGTGGGTGTGGTCTTCTGCCCATCCCACTTCTGGCCATGGACAAGTTTGCCTCCATCCAGTGTGACAGTAGACTTGACTTTCCTGTCATCAGCTGTTGTCTCTACTCCCAGCTTGAAGGGGATCTCGGTGTTCTTGAAAGTGCTCCGAGTCTTGATGGTGATGGTGTCCCCTCTGACCTCGATGATGGTGGTGGGCTTGGTCATGCTGGCCACCTGCCTTGTGGCAAAGCCAACACCAGTGGACTTCATGTAGTCATCGACATTCTTGCTGTCAACTAGCTTCCAGGTGCCAACAAAAGCATCTGCCATGGTCAGCTAGGCTAGAGGAGGCAAAGCTGGGCTGGACTAGGCTGGGGATGCACTGCAAAGCGCTGGGTCCGGATCCTCGGGGATGCACTGAGCTGCACAGAGCTGAGAGAGGCAAAAACTTTTCTGTTCCTTCAGTATAACGTCATTTGATTTACAGATAGATTGTTAGACTTGGAGTCAGGAAGACCTGAATTCAGATGCAGACTTAAATATTTACAAATTGTGTGACCCTGGACAAATCACTTAACTTCTGTTGGCCCTCAATTTCCTCATCTGTAAAATAGATATAATAATAGTACCTATATCCTAGGGCTATTATAAGAATAAAATATTTGTAGAGTGCTTTGTAAACCTTAAAAGGCTGTATAAATGCTAGCTATTATTATGCAGAAGCAGAAAACACATGTGACTCATTGAAACCACAGATAATCTGGAAATTGTGTTGACTATTGATTTCCCCTTCCCTCCTCTACCAGCTTTTTGAAAGCAAGTGACAAAATAGGTTGATTTAAATTTCCTTTTCTTCCTGTACCACAGATAGAAGTGTTGATAAAGCATAGTGCTGGCCAGAAGATTAGGTAACTGGTGCCTTCCTGTGGTCATCATTGATATCGCTTTAACCACAGCCAGCATTAGTATACCGCCAACCTAAGAAAGTGTGATACCACCAGTTCAGACAATTAAGCATGGCAGTCTATAAGTCACCAGTATATGTGATATCAGATACTTAGTGCTACAGATACCATCATTAAAACAAACTCCTCACCCCTGAAAGGCTGTATTCCTCTTTAGTGTCTTTGGCTGTTGTTCAGTCATTTCAGTCATGTCCGACTCTCTGTGACCCCTTTTGGGGTTTTCTTGGCAGAAATACTGGAGTGGTTTGCCATGTCCTTCTCTAGCTCATTTTAAAGATGAGGAAGCTGAGGCAAACAGGGTGAAGTGACTTGCCCAGGGTCACACAGCTACTAAGTGTCTGGGCCAGATTTGAACTCAGGGAGATGAATCTTCCTGACTCCAGGCCTGGCACTCTATCCGCTGTGCCACCTAGCTGTCTTTTGTCTTTAGTTAGATATTGGTTATTTATTCCTGATGCCACTTCCTCGTTTTGTATTAGGCAGTTAATCCATATCATTCTTTTTGTCTTCTTTTCGAAGGAAGCAATGAAGAAATCTGGTCATCAGCGTCTGTTTGTAACAAGAATTTTGCAAGAATTTGAGAGTGACACGTTTTTTCCAGAAATTGATCTAAGGAAATATAAACTTCTCCCAGAGTAAGTTAACACAATTCAATTGAAGTACTTTCTTGAACTGTACACTAAAGAGTAATTAAAAACATATTTTATTTGGAATTAGCTTTTCTTTGTTTTGGCTTGGATGTTAATTTATAATATACAAATATTAACATTTTGTAGCCTGTTCTGTTCAAGTCAACAAATATTTACTGAACACCTAATGTATACAGGTTCACCTAGAAATTCATTAAAGCATAAAAAAATTCCTGATAACTTTATGCTGTTATATGATTGGTTCTAATATAACTCAGATGAATAATGATTCTATATTTCCAAGCTACCTAGAGCAATGGCATGAGATTGTTTCCTTTCCTTTCTCTATTCTGTATAGTCTGAAAAGAAAGTTTTCCATATTATATACATCTAGTATGTCATATTTCATATGTGTATGTATATCCTCGGTGAGTCTCCATTTATTTACCATTCAACAAACATAAAATACTAATTGTGTACAAGGCACTCTCTTTGGTGCTGAGCTAAATACAAAGATAGAAATTATACCAGCCTTGCTTTCAAGCTGTTTACAATATAATATGAAGAGAAAGACAAAAAAAAAGAGGTACCAAAATAGATCCAGGACAGGTGCTGTGAAAATTTTTAGAAAGCAGTCATGTTAACATGTTAGAGATTTAGGGAATAGTCAAGGAAGGCTTCATCAACCCAGGGTTGGACTTGAAAGAAGGGAAGGACCTTTGGTAGGCAGAGACTGGGTGTGGGTGGTGATTTCAGTCATTTCTAAGAATGGGCCAGCCACTGAAGGATTTTGAGCAGAGGAGTGATATGACGTGTCTTAGGAAGGATGGATTAGGAAAGCCTTTGTCTTTATACATTTTACTGATTTTAGGTTAGCTTTGACAAAGAAGTGAAACACTAACTTTCTTTCAGTGTTCCTTTTATTGATTCCCTTTTTAGGGGGAAGGTATCCCCTTCAAAGTAATTCCTTAGGAAGCATTATTTATTCCAGTTATGCTATAGTTAACTGCATATATTTTTGGACCTCATCTTTTGCAGTTTCCTTCAGAACCTGGAGCACGTTCTGTTGACTGTACTTAGTCGTGACAAATATTCCAACTTTGAAGGACAAATTTGATTTTTAGAAATAGCCAAAAGTTATTTACAGCCAAGTTTAGGAATAAGGGTCAGTGATCAATCTGAACAATTCCATGTTGTTTATTTGTTTGTTTCTAAGTGGTGCATTGAGACAATTTGTAATTTTTATGGCTCTGAAGATCATTCCAAAAAATTGGCTTCAAAAATGTTTTTCACAATGACAGTACTGTCATAATAATTGTAGGGGCTCCTAAGGTAGTTTGTTTTTAAATGTGTTAACACACATTTATATAAATTCTACTAGGTTTATACTGCCTGAAAAATCAGTATTATTATCTTAGCACCTGTGAAATTCAGGAGTTGAAATGGACCTTAGAATTTTGTAGCCATTCTACTACATGATATCATTTTATCTCTTATTCATTCTCTGGACTGGAGGATCTAAATCTTTTTTGTTTGGTTGTTTCTTTCTGTTTTTCAACAAAATAATTTTGGGTTTTTTGTTTGAGTAATTTTTTTGAGCCTTGACTTAAATAATTACCATTCCAAAACATTCTTACCCTCAGTCGTGGATGGAAAGAAGAAGCTGCTGGGTATTCTTTAAGTATTCTAACAATTTGTTGATCCTGCCATTGGGCATCCTCATCAGAGAGGCCATAGAGTCATAAAGTGTTCAAGCCATGAAGGACTATAGAGATCTTGCCATCCAGTTCCTTTATTCTATATTGTTTTATTTTCTGTTGTTTCCCATTGCTGACAATGGTACTTAGAATTCTTCTGTGTTCTTTGGTGTGTTTGGGTTTTTCTTTTTACTTTTTTATTTTTCGGTAAACCAGCATTTCTTTTCTCTCCCTCCCACCTCCACCCCTCCCCTGTCCTCTCTGCAATGAGAAAAAGAAAACCAAACCCCTTATAACAAATATGCATCATCAAGCAGAATAAATTCCCACATTGGCCATGTCCAAAAATGTGTGCCTCGTTCTGAATCTTCAGCCCATACTGCCCATACTGTAGGTAGTGTTCATCATCAGTAGTCTTCTGGACGTAATCATTGCGGTTGACTTTTTGGCTCAGTAAATAACTCAGTTAACTAACTGCTTACTATTTAAGTGAGCCATTCATATTCCTGGATATTTTCTAGTATTTCCTTTGTGTTGACAAGCTTTTAATGCCATTATGGTTTATGATAGCTCTCATAATATTACATTTCTTCTTATAACTGACTTTCCTAATAGTACTATTAGTTATACTTTCCAGCAAGTTTTTAAAATGCTAATTACATGGAGGTCTTTAGTTGTATTCAAACATTTCAATTCACTTGTTTTATTATTTAAGTTTCTTGTATAAAAATCTTATGTATTTTACTGTGATTTTTTTTAATGACATTTCCCATATGTGTCAGTTTTCTGGGTGCATGTCAACTGCCTTACAAGCATCATTTTCTTGAGTGTGTCTTCAAAACCTGTCCTGCATGCCCTAATAGTTTTTTTCCCAATTTCTAGTTTAAAAATTCCTCTGCACTGTTTTTTCTTAAATTTTTCTTGTCATTAGGCTAGTGCCACTTTGATTCAGGTAGTGCCCATCTCTTGTAGAGAGATTCTACCAATTCCACAAGATCCCCTAGTTTCTGACAAGTCTAAAAACTCATATGTGTTTGTGTATAACAATTAGAGAGTAGCTAGGTGCTAACCGATGTGGTGATTGGGATAAATACAAGGAGGAATTCAGAGAAGGGGGGAGCATCAAGGCAGGTTGATGTTGTAAAGGAATGCTTCATACAGATAAGGCGTCTTAAGCTGGGTCGTCAAGGAAAAGACTAACTCCCTGTGAGCTAGGATGACCTTGTGGAAAGATGGAGATTACAAAGCTCGTTAAGTAATGATTAGGAAACCGTAGGGATCTGCAAAGGAAAGGTAATTCTGGGGCAAGAGCTCCAGTCTATTATACATTTGGAATTTTAGAACATAGTATCAGTCCAATAAATCAAATACTCTATTCAGTACCAGCTTTTTGCTCAACACTGTAACTATATGCAGGTCTACAGATGAAATTTTATATGTAAGTTCAAGTTATTATAAATGTTCACCTCATACAATGCCTTTGGACCTTTTAGGGTTTGTTTATGGGGGTTTTTTTGTTTTGTTTTCGGTTGGTTGCTTGGTTGGGGGTGGGGTTGGAGGCAGTCAGGGTTAAGTGATGTGCCCAGGGTCACACAGCTAGTATTGGGTTCTTAATAAATGTTTGTCTATTAAATGAATGAGACAAAGGCACTATACAGAATAAAACCTAAACATCCATCCAGTTTTTGTTCTCTGACAGTAGTACCAAAGGACATATTACAAGACCTGCCCTCCATGATATAAAATTCAAGACAAACAAAATAAAAATACTTGACAAGACAGTTTTTAACTTTCTATTTTGTTTTCATATCGTATTATATTTTATCAAAATGCTCATTTTGACAGGCATCCTTTGGTAAGAGTTGCTAATATTATATTATCTTTCAGGTCACATTATTTAGTAATACATAAATCTTTCTTTTTCAGATATCCAGGTGTTCTCACTGATGTCCAGGAAGAAAAGGGCATTCAGTATAAATTTGAAGTCTATGAAAAACATGATTAATGTGAAAGGTTTGAAAGCTGCTGTTTCCAACTAATTTTTCCTCTAAAAATTAAGTTTGCATGATGTTTGAATAAAAGCTGTTATTAGAAATATTATGTTTATTTTTACTTTTGAATGTATCAATAAACATTTATTGAACAACTACCATGCTAAGCTCTGGTGATACAAAAAGAGGCGAAAGACAGTCCCTGCCCTCAGAGAGCTCA